AAAATAAAAGTCGATCCACGAACGTGAGGAGAGTTTTATTTCGAATTTATTTTTATTTTGATCGGACTTTTGTGGCTGCGAAAAAGTACTCATTCGCATGTAGAACGCGTTTGGTTATCTAACCTTAGATGAAGTAGGCGTACAGTAGGTGGCTTCGATTGAGAGGTAACCATTATGTTCTTGGGCACCTCGAGAAGTCCGCCTACCTGGCAGATTCGTTGGTCAGCGCTAACGTGAAACGCGGGGCATTGTGGGCGTGGGAGACGATCGAAAGGCGGAAGATATGTTCATTTGCATGATTCATGTTGATCGGTTGAGGAATATATATATATATAAATATATAACTTTAATTGTTGACCGTTATTAAAGTTACATAAAGGGGAAATTAAATTTATGGAGATTTTTAGCTTATAATTATATATTACATTTTATTGGGTAAGCAATAATTGCCAGCCTAATAAATATGATGGAAAATCCAAGCTTTCATAGGGAAATGTTTTAATGATTTAATAACTTTACCAACATTTCCTTGGCATTACGATTCTAAGTGAAACTACAGTATGGTATGTAAATACTTTAGCTTATTAAGTTTTTCCTCAACTCCAAGAAGACCGCAGAATTTCCTTTCATTACCAACTAACCATAGTTCTTCACTTCCATTTTCTATGGCTAACAATATCCTGTTTACAGTAAGCCAAGCTAATCAAAGAACGTTTAAATGGAATTACCTTTTCATTAGTATTCTTTGAATCAGGGGGAAACGCTTGAAAGTTTCAATTTAATAACGTAATTGATCAAAAGAACAAATTGCCAACGATTGTGACTTGCCGTTCTACTCTAAGAGCTCTCTTAAATAAATTACTAAAACCAGTTGGCCAATGTCAGAAATATAAATAAAGAAAAAAAACAACAGGGGTGTAGACTTTCGAAAAGGCCAAAAGGGGTTTAAGTTATTTAAATGGCTAACCGTAACAGACGCCTACGTTTTGTTAAATTATATATTTTACTATTCAGCTGCCATTTGCAACACTTCATCGTCCCGAAAAAAAGTTGGGCTTAAATTTCCTAACCAATAATAGCAACAATTGTCTACGAAGATCGTGATAAACGAGCGACTTAAACTGAACTACAATACACAACGCCAGATTCCAATTGATTTCCCCTCAATTGTTCTCTCCTCGTCGTGAAAAGCCTCAAACCTGGGCGAAGCAAACACGTTTTGGGTAGCCAGACAATGGTCAACTATTTGGTCGATTGTCTGTGAACTAGATAATATAGAGTGGGCTTGAAAAAGTATTGTAAACGAACTCGAAATATGACTGAGAACATATTGAAAATGAAAGACTGATTCATAGACGGTTATTTATAGGTGTTTTAAGGGGTTTCACGTCAGTTTGAAGAGGTTTAAAAGTGTAGGTTTTTAAGTTTAGAAGTGGCTAACAGTTATATCACTTGAATAAATATCAGAAAAATTAAGATTTTCCCAAATATTAGTGGCGAAAAACCTCTAAAAATGACCACTAATCAAGCCAAGGCCTCTGAGCCACATTAGCATGTAAGAATAGGGCACAGAACAATATTATATTATGGCTCATATAAAACTTAATGCAAAAGCAAATCGTAGCTAAAAATAAAAGCCAATGCTCGTAAATTGGCACACACGCTTCAACAGACCGCGAAAAATAACAACAACAAAATGGGCGAGCTTCGGACCACGGCAATAACAAAAAAAAGAAACCTCTAACCAAAAAAAAGAAAAACAAACTACAGCCATTTTGGCCAGAACTGAAACACCTACAACAGAGCAGTCTAATTACGTCAGTCAGCCGCCAACCGGACTCATATATAGTATATATACTATATAGTATGAGATGGGCCTGGCTTATATAGCTGACCATTCTCTGAAATGACATTGTCGCTCCAAAAAACGTTAAAGAAATTAATTAGATACGCTAACAACAATTTTGCATATTGCCAAAAGCACGCAAATAAAAGTGAATCTAACGTAGCTTTTGGCTTATGGGCAGACGCCTCACGTCACTTTTTGCTAAACAAAGACCAAAGGTAAAGTCAAGGTGAGTAAAAAAAACAAAGAGATTTATGTGCTTGCCCCACGGCAGAAGAAGCCCCTAATCATTATCACTAAAAACAAAGAAAAAAACTAACAAAATAATTAAAATTACAATTGGCGTTGGCCAACTGTCAGGAGTTGACCTTTTTTTCTGGCCCAATTTCATTAGGCTAAAGCGATTTCCGTTTAATGGCTAAATGGAAAATGGAACATGGGATTTTTTGGGTTTTTAATTGGAGCGCTCTATAATAAACTTAATGGTTTCTCAGGTGGCAAATGATTTTCATTTAAGTTGTTAATGGTTGTGGAATTTATATTCGGAGTGAAGTGAGAAAACTATTATTTTTATGGGAAAAGGTTTTGCTGTTTGATGTTGGAAAACTTGTTAAAGCTTAAAGTGGTTGAGATTCTTTTTATTATTTTGGATTTGGTTTTCTTATTTATAATCATTAGATTGATTTTTACACGTCTTATTAGGCTATTTAATAAATATGGGGAAAATAGTCTTTAAGGACAATATAAACTTATTTAAGTAAAATTATTATTTTTGATATCCGAAAGCTTTTATCCCTTTCTTGTAGCTTCAGTTTTTATCATAAGCAAACAATGTAAAAAATAAAATAAATATTATTTTCAATGTTTATCTTAAAAAATGCAACTGGTCTTGATTCTTAAACAAACAAAATTATCAAAAAATTTAACCAGCTTTATTTACCGCCGCTCTTTTTTTAAATTCTTTCCAAAACCGGTAATACTTTTTCATTATTATTTAAAAAAATATATCAAACAAATACACATTTTAAGATTGCTGTTTCAGACTTGGACCTCCAATATTTACATTTGCAAACTGGCTAAAATTATCACCCCAATGACATCATCTCACATTTTTACCAGGATATTACGCGGCCAGTCCCAGCAATTGGCCTTCGTACTTTCATTTCCCAATGAAGATGAAGTCACTCCACGTGCTTAAAAATAAAAATAAAAAAGTGGGAGAATACGAAAAAAAACTCAGTTAAAGTGACTAAGCCAACTATGTAAATATGGCCCAAAGCCATGGAAAATGAAATTAAATTCAAGTTCAACGGATTGCCATGTCCTCAGTTTGGGTTACTGACACCGTCAGGTGGAACCCCGAAAAACCATCCCAACATTTCCTGGTATTTCCGTGCATTGAATGGCCATTAATTGGTACGAAGGGAGCGTAATTGATAAGAATACAATGGCGTTTTTTTTGGTCAACAAAAGTACATTAGCCTAACTATCGGTTTTTGTGGTTAGGAAAATCGACGGAAAATCCCAGGGGTTAGTTTGAGGGAACTTGTCGTTGCCAGCAATATGCTAATGAACGGCCACGAACTTGAGCTGTGGCTTGAACTTCACTTGGAGCGATAGCAGGGAACGGTTGTTTAATGTTTACCTATCGGAAATTCTTTCCCTAAAACTATCTACTGTGTATGTGTGTGTTTGAGTGTATGAACAGGTGACAGGCGAACGAACCGCACCCACCCACCGAATCGAGCGGTTCAAGGTCGAGCAGCAGACAGAAACTTTGGAAACATTAGTAGGTGTTATGAGCAGACTTTGCTTTTCTACCCTTCTTATCAGGAAAGTACTTGATAAAGCTAATTTCCAAAGAGACTTGCACTTATTTTATACATTTTTTGAACTCTATTTTGTAGCAGAAAAAATCGATACCCTTACGTGATATACTATATAGTTCAGTAAGTTACTGCGCACACTTTGTCACCGTCCATAAAAATGACATGACTTGTGTGTACTTTTTTCTGTTTGTTTGTCTAAATAGTTAAAGAACCCACTGCTGCACCTTTCCCCCCTTTTGGCCATCAAAGTGCAGTTGACAGTTGGGGAGAAGTTGAGTTTACAGAACTGCAGTGGACAGGTGCCGTTTATTTGAGCTCCAAAAAAATCAATAACCATATGTATTATTTAATTCCCGACCTGGGAATGCCAGCAATGCGTCAATGGGGGGTTATATTATAGATATATAAATATATATATAGATATATAAAGATATATAAAGATATATAAAGATATATAAAGATATATATAGATATATCCATGTACATATGTACAGCCACATGTCTGTAATAAGCAATGCAAATCATCAGGTGAGGCAATCAGAAATTCACATACTTAGGTGTAATCGTTATTGGGTTTTTGATAAATGGAAAAGATTTTAAGGTTAATAACTAGATAGTTAAGGAATGTTCCATAGGGTTAGGGTTAGGAATGAGATTTTAAAGTTATTTTGTTAAAGGGAATATATATTATTTAAGCACTATAAGCTATAAAATAAAGTGGATTTTAAGACTTTGTTTTCCTTGAAATTTAACTAAAAAGTGATATATACTCGTAGATAGCAACAAAGTAATTGTTTTATTTATTGCTTAGACTTTGCCAAATCAGATAGTGTAGAGAGTACAATATAGACCATATATGTATATCAACATCAAAGTACAGCATTACTAAGCAAGAAATAATCAATGCATTTAAAAGACTGCTTAAATATGACTTCTAAATATAAAAAAGTAAATAAATTTAAGCACATTCAGACCAAAACTATTATACAAAATGTAAACTATAAATCCAACAACAGTCTTTCGATTGTTATTAAGTTTTATTTCATCAAATTTATTAACAGAAATGATTTAATTTTTAAGACATAAGAAGTTTTAATATTAAAACTTTAATAATTAGACTCTAATACCTTTGGTATTAGATAAGAATTCCTACCTTTATTCAAGTTTATCAACTCAAAATTCGAACTATTTTTTTGTGGCTGATAGTGAATTTAATTTCCTTTCCTTTCCCTTAAATATTTATTTATTCTACTTCCCATTTTCAAACAAAAATCCCATCTCTTAACTATTTCAAACTTAAGTTAATAAAAAACTACAAAGCTCACCTCAATTTTGGTTGAATAGTCCTCTATGAGCTTCTCCTGCTGCTTGACCAGCTCTTCGTTCTTCTCAAGCAATGCCTTCCCCAATTCAGCGGCCAAAAGTATGTCCGATTCCTTCTGCTGCAGTTGGGCCCAGACATCTGGCTCTTGGTCATGTCGACGTGCCTCCATGGCGCTGATGTAGTGCTCTAAATCAATCGAATCACCAATTAGTGATGTATGGTCGAGATGATGATCGTAACCGGAGTCGTCCGGCCGGAGGAGCCCCCCAGCTCCAAACGTATGTTTGCCAAACTGACGTGGTCTCTTTGATTTGTTGTTGCCACTGGAGCTGCTGTTGCTGCTGCTGCTGCCGCCGCTGATGTTGTTGTTGTTGTTGTTTTTTGTGGATATGGATGAGGCAATGGCGGCAGCGGTTATAGCATTCGCTAGCTTTGGTTTATGCATGATCGTTAGCGGGCAGGCTTTGGATTTGGTTTGGTTTTAATTCAGGCGGATAGGTGTAGTAGAGTAGTATGGTGGTGTGGTATTACGGGTACGGATAATAACAACGAACCAAATTTACAAAACATAACACACACACACACACACACACATACACACAGAGAGTAAGTTAGATGCAATTTGTTTTAGTGCGATGCCAGAGATCGTTTTGGTTTTATTTCGTAGGTTAGGTATTTAGATGACTCTGCATTGGCCGTAGGATTAGGTTTAGCTGGCGCGGCGTTACGATGATATATCCGAGCATAGTTCCATGGGGCAACAGCTGCCCCCCGAAAAGAGCAGACGCAGACCCGTGGTTTAAAGCGACGATGATGTTTCTTTCGAGCTGAAGTTGATTTCGGTTAGATTAGATGGTATAGTAAGTACATAGCCGCAATGAGAGAATTAGCATTAAATGTGGGGTACATGTATATGGCCTGGCCAAGAAGACGGGTCTAATCATTAACCAAAGGGAGCGAGGCGGTCACGTTTTCAGTTACTTTTGTTACTTTTGGTAGTGGGAGTGTTTTGGGTTGGTTGGCGGGGGGAGAGGGTAAAGAGGGATGCCATATAACTACAGTGTTAAGCAAGAGGGTTAATATAAACGAAATTTGCCTTTAGCCCGTCTTTAGCCAGTCTTTAGTTAAGCTCCATGCGGTTTTGGCTTAAGTTTCTTGGGAATTTGGGGGTGTATTAACATGCGTGAGTATATACAAAATGTGGGGGAATTTCAGGGGCATATTAAGTAGTTTTAATTATTCAAATTTATAATCAAGACTTTGGTTCTGAGTAGTAGGTTAAATGGTAATTTACAAAGGGTTGCCTTAGTAAATGTGGATGGTCCAAGTGGGTTAGTCTAAAGCTCCGCTTTTGGTTTAAATTAACCAAAAATATATACAAGAGAAGTTAAGTTCCTTGGCTAAATCGGTAAACTTCACACGTCAATAAAGCAGAACAAAGTCACAAAAAAACCGTTGAAAATTTTTTTGCTTAAATTTCTAACTGATTTTAATCTATATACTATTTTTTGGTAGTTTCGTATTTGTTATATAGAAAATTCATTTGGCAAGCACTTCACGCTTTGCTGCTTTTGGTAGCAACAGCAACTGTTGTTATATTATATATAATACGCTTCGGGCCAAGCTTTTAGCCAACATTTATTTATATACTCTTTGTGTTTATCTTATTTTTTGTTTTTGTTATATTTTTGAAGCAACACAGACACAGTTCACTCAAATAGTTGGTATTATTGTTTTGCATTTCCGCTGTTTTTTTCTTTTCTTGGCCAAAGTTTGGCATTATTATTGACAAAACAACAAAAATAAACGCGCGGATTGCATGGGATATACGAGTATTGGTCTAATTAATTCCCCCCAAAAACGGAAAGTATCCAAGTATCTAAGTATATACTTTCCACTTTCGCAAAACGCGATAGAGTCTGGCCCTATATTCAGTTTAAATATATATTTATATATATATATATATATAACTATATCCGTATATGTTAGTATGAGGGCAGAAACCTCGGTCACGACGTCGCTGCTCCACTCCAAAGCAGAACTTCCGATGTCCGATGTACGATTCTCCGCTTCTCGGATTCTCCGATTCTCCGATGCCCGTACACAACGCGCGCGCTCGCTTCGGTTCGTTTACGATTTTCTGGCTTTCCCCAGCTTTTCAAATATTAAAGGGGGAGGCGTTCAAACGCGTGGGCGTATACGTCTGTCTGTCGCGAACGTTCGTTACTAACTGAATAACTGGCAGAGCTGTGCTACGAAAATTGGCAAAACAAATGAGTAACCAAGCGACCGAACGACTGGCTAAGCCTCGTATCTTGGCAACAACAACCCACAAAGTCCGTTGTCTCTCTTAAGTTTCGGTAAAAAAAAAGAGAGTTACTGGTTACCCGGCAGGGTTGTCGAGTAATCGCGGTGGGTTAGATAAGATTATTGCAGTGGAGTAATAAGCATTATTGGTTACAAGGTAAGGCAGATAGGCAGTGTTAAAGTGCAATGTGGGAGTAAAAGATAACATTATGATAAAGAGAGTTATCTTCTTTAAGTCTACATGGTATCCGCATGGTATTTCGGTTTTTCTATACAGAATTAATAAAATCCCTTAATCTGCTTTTACGGAACTATGTCTTTGTAAAGTAACATAACATAATCTTAAAAAATATTAATTTATTTAATAAAAGTTTAAATCTTTTCATTTTAACCTAAGAACATTAAATGTTTAAAATTTCACTTATTTATTTATTTTTGAAATATTTCCCCTATCTGGCAACCCTGTCCAAACCATAACACAGCTCCAACGGTAAGCTCCACTTGGCGCTCTCTTGCACTGACTTCCCTTTTAACTGGCATATGGTTGATTTGGCCTCGCCGTCGCTTTCTCTTAGCCGACATACGACACATGGCTTGTGTATTCTCCCATCTCTTGACTGCTCTTCGCCTTTTGTTTTGCATTGAGTCTGACTTACGAAAGCGGCCAAGTGAACAATAATGAAACAGGGTGACGCTTCGCACAGGGCATGGGGGTACTGAGGCAGAGGAGGCGGTGCCAAGAGGGAAGGGCCAGAGACCTGGACCTCCAAAAACCACGACGTGCATACACACATGTATCATAATGTACATATTTCAATGCAAAATTTACATACGGCAAGAACACAAACAATGGGCCACCTAAGAATGGCAATAACAATGGAAGTACACTTTAAAAACATGGATTAATATCTATTAAGGGGATAATCAAAATAAGATTCCGATAAACACAGATTTTAATCTTAAAAATAAAACTTAAAGTTCCTAAATTAGCTTCGATTTGCGTTTAAACTTCTGAGATAACTTCCTAACTTCTTCTTCTTCTAAACTTAGTAACTTATTATTAAATTCCCCAAAATCTCTTACAAGCTAAGAAACCTTAGGCAAATAACAGTTTCAAAATGAGAATTCCAAGATCCCAGCAACGGTAAACATTGTACGTGTTTCGTTGAGTGTACAAAGTAAAGTAGATTTCTTAAGGAGGCAGCGGGTTAGACATGGTCAGACAGTCTAGTGCGTGGTACTAAGCTAGACTCTATCTAGTCCCCCTCACCTCTCCTCTTGACTTCCGAAACAACATGCACAATAAGACACTCAAGTGGCTGGGGCCAAGTGAAGATGAGCTTCAGACCGACGCCAGACCATTGTTCTTTGTGGCCATTACCATCACCATCACCATCTCCATTTCCAACTCCGCCTCCGCCATCAGTTCTTCCTATCCATAATGCCGATGTTGCGTGGCCGCATGTTTATGTTGGCCACTGTATGGGCTACCGTTTGGCAATTTACCCAATTGAGCTTTTTGGATGGTGGCCTAACCAGGCGTAACTAACTTTTTGTGTTTTACCTGGTTTTCCTAACCACGAGAGAAACTTCCGTGCTTCCGCCCCAGATCGATCTTAAAGTTTTAGGTTTTGTTTTTTGCGTTGCCTCCTAATGAGGAAGGGTCTTCCTTGAAAACATTTGTGGGGCATCTCCATGGAATTCTTTGTGGCACTTTTCATCTCCGGTTTCCACTCTGCAGTTGGATATTCACCTGCAATCGAGTGTTCTTGAGCTGCCTCATTGTCTTACACTCTCGCTCTTGTTGGAGTCCGGACTCCATTCATCCATCCATCTAGGTGGTACGGGCACCATGTATAACCCACCTAAACTGGTTTCGCCTTTTGCTCTTGCTCTGCTTTGTATCGCAGTTTTTTCTTTAATTATTTATGTTGTTTTTTTTTGTTTGCTCTTATGGGAGGTTGATTAACTTTACTGGCATGTTGGTGGCAGTTTTTTTTTTAGGTAATTCACAGAGAACAGGGAAATTCTAGATGACCATGGAAATTGTTACACTTGAAGGAGTTCTAACAAGCAAGTAAAGAACTAAAGAATTGAGTTAGAAGTTAAAGATTAGTTAATTATTATTCGGAGAACAAAAAAGTTCAATTTTAGATGAAGAACTATGAAAAACAACATTGTTTATGATCTTAAATCAAGCCCTGATATAAATTGAGACTTAGACTTAGTTTCTTAAGCACTGAAAATATATTAATAATTACCAATAAATTTAAAAGATAAAAGCAACTAAGCTAAAGTTATTTGATTTATAAGTAAGACATCTTGGCAACTTTTTAATCTTTATGATAACTTTGGTATTTTTGATTTTGAGAATGATATACTCGTATATATAAAAAAGAAGGGTAATATTTTGTTTATAGAATCAGGTAAACAGGTGACACTTTGTTTAAAGAATCGATTTGATATATAATCTTCATTTTTTCTATAATATATATTCGATTTCAGGGTATACCACCTTCCGTTTTAAACAACAATTTGCTGCACACATACATCAACTTTTAATATGTACAATAATTATATTGTTTTTAGCGCTCGGCATGAGTCAGTCAACAGCAACAAGTTGGGGCATTACCGGGCGTTTTCTGGTCAAAAGTTTTGATTTCTGTTTTGCGACAAAAGAACTGGAATTGAAACTACTGGTACTGGTACTGGCACTGGTAGTGGAGAAGAATTGTTATGTTACCAGATATGTGTGTCAGTGACAATGGTTAACTGGTGACTTGGTGAAGGATCTGTCACTTTGGCGGTCGTTGCAAGCAGAGCGCGAAGTCCGTTTTAGGTCCCCCGCCTCTGGAAAATGTTAAGGCCCAAAAGGTAAACAACAGCAGCAATCGTATTACCAAACCCAGTGCCAGGCCATAAACGAAATGGCAGGCGTACAAACTACTGTAAAAAGGTCAAGCCAACTGGCCGAGAGCTGGGCGTGAGAATGGCTTTTTTGGCCCGATGGGGTCCGGTCCGGAAAACTAAGGCAGCGACACACATAAGAAGCCGCTCCATAAATGTACAGCAATCAGATCGCCAGGGAGCTAATTCTTCATTTTTTTTAAGGCTATTTTTTCAAAGAAGAACTTTAAGGTGTGTAAGGAAAAACTTTGGCAACATATTTTTAGTACTTCTTGTGCTCGAATTATTAAGGCAGAAAATGTGTTTTAGTCTCGAGAGTTGATTATGAAAGGTAAATAAATTAACTTAGTACTATTTATTAATATTAATACAGACTTTATAATATCTATATTTAAGCTAATAACCCTTTGTTATATATTTCTACTTTTCGAAATACAGATCGCCAAGAAAGTTACTTTCCACCTTCAATATTAAGTTTTAAAATCTAAATTAAAAGAAATATTTCCACATTACTTTTTAATCTCAAGGTTTAGTTTAGTATAAATAACGCCATTTACTTAATTGAAATGCAGAATTTTTTTTTATAATTGCAAATATTCTCCATTTCCCCATAGGAAAAGCTCAGCTCGAGAGGTCAAGCCACAGAATGGGGTCAAAAGAAGCAGCCGCGATTTCTGGTCTGGACAGACGAAAGGGCAGTGACGATGATGCCAAGGAAAAACCCAGAAAATGAAAATTATTTTCAATTTACATTTCAAGCAGAAGGGTTTGTTGAGCGGGCGGGCAGTAAAGAGGGTAATGGGTAGGGGTAGGGGGGCTATTTTGGCCATCATGGTTTATGGCCTGGTCTAATGTAATAGTTTCTTGCTATTGCAGCTGTTGTTGTCATTGCTGCTACTATAGTTGTTGTTGTTGTTGTTTATTGTTGTTGCTGCAACCGAGCGGCATTGAAGCATATTGCCTTTGTAGTTGTTGTTGGGCAAGCGAACGGAAATGGTGATTAAGAGAGTGGGATTTAAGAGAACCAGAAACTCTTTGCATGCGTGTGGATAGCAAGTGGATTGTAGGTTTGTTTATGGTTCTGTGCTTGGCTTAAATGCCTTCCACTTGGATCTAGAAAAATCAACTGAGCTTGTCAAAAATTGTGATTAAATTAAATTAGGAAAATTACCTTAAATGCTGTGAAATGAGAACGTAATTATGTTTAGGTAGAGAATTTTAAAATATCTTAAGTGCTGAAAAATATTAGAGTAATTATACCACACAAGAAGTTACTTAGTAGAAATTAAGGGATGCGCAAATTTTTTACCCCTTTAACCCATTAAAAATGCACATTTCTTTTAAGTTATACAACATCAGCAAAATATATTTACTTTATATATATATATAATGTATTTATTATTCTCATGTATGCAAATTAGATTTGTTTCTCTGATTTAGTTGTGTCTTTCACATATATCTCCCCTGCCATAGACTTCATAGATAATACCGGTATTAGTTCGCTTGAGTTTAGTTTCGAAACAGGCGTTTGAGTTAAACACAATATTAGTATTACAATAGGTATATAATCTTTATACAAAAAACATAAATTAAGTATAGAATTTATAATTTCTCAGTTTGTTTTAGCTAACGTGTTTAGGTCTCATCACAGGAGCAGGGAGTCTTGAGGAGTTGTTGTTGGGGGGAAGCAGCTTGTGCGAGGGTAGAGTTTGCCCCATGATCCGAAATTGTGCTAGCAGTACAAATAAAATTCTATTCTATTTAGATTGCCCCTGGCCCCGATCCCATTGCCATGATAACTCATCATTAGATCCCCTCTTAGATCTGCAGCACGCGCTTAACATCGACGGTGGGAAAGGAGGCAAACTGTCCATGGGCAGCACGATGAGGTTTCCGATGCAGATACTCCGCTAGGATATCTGAAGCCAGCTGGGAGGCCTTCGAACTGATTTCGCCCTTAAGTGGAACAGGCTGGTTGCGTCTTTGCAGGGCCACCGTGTCGATGCGTTTTCCCACATTCACCGAATCCTGGGAACGGACCTGCAGCAGTGACAATACCCAGGCATGCTTCATCCTGGTCAATTCCGACTCCAAGGCGGTAATGCGCTGATCCTGTGGCTGCGGCACATGGAGAGGTTCAAACTGTGATAGCTTGGCACGCATATCCTGCGCCTGCAGTCGGAGGCGTTCGTTGCGCTCCTGGTTAAAAGCACTCTTCAGCAGCTGCACTTCCTCGGCCACAACTGGGGCAGTGCCTGCAGGCGAGGAGAAGGAAACATTGGTAATACCCGGAGCACTGGACGTTGAGCCAGCGACAGAAATATTGTGCGGGGAATGGGTATCCGAGCCAGACTGAACCTTGCCGGTGCTTGAGTTTAACTTCAGCTTATCGCGCAGATCGCTCTTCTCGCTCTCCAAGGCATCGATATCACTTTGCAGGTGGTCCATCGTCTCCTCGAACTCCTTCTCCTTCAGCTGCAACTGCTGGCGTGTTTCCTCATACTGCTGTTTCCACTTGTCAACCGCGTGCTCGTACTCGTTCTGCAGCACACTCAGTTTCTTTTCCGCCAGATCTTTGCGGATCTGCATCTCACTTAACTCGTCTTGCTTCATCTTGGCAACTAGCTTAAGATGCTTTACGTCCGCTTCACGATTTTCTAACGTTGCGGCCAGCACATTCTTCTGCTCCAACTGTTTCTTGATCAGCTGCGCTCGTTGTGTAATGGGTGTGCTGTGGGCACCTGACTTCTGTTGGCCACCAGCCTTATTGGCTTCCGAGATGATCTCGTACTCCTTGTCCAGCAGATGTTGGGCAATGTGCTGCAGGTCGGAGTTTGCCTGGGCCAATAGGGTCTTGAAATTGTGCGTTGGTCCGCGGTCATCCTGCTCGTAGATACGCTCGCAGGAGGCGGACAGCAGGGCCCAGTACTTCTCCTGTGGAAGAGTGTGTTCCGCTGCATTGTCGCTCTCGATGGTGGTGACAATGGTTGCTAAAGACTGCTTGGTGGCCTGGTGCATCGCCGACATGATACGACTGATATTCTGTGCCAGAGCACGCATCGCCTCCACTTTGTGCTGCGACAGACCGCTCTTGATCACATGCTGGTCGCTGGGCAAACGGCGCTTGATCAGCTTTACTTGCTGACGCACGCTTTCCATGTTCTCGTTCAGGAACTGAATCAACAATACCGAATCGCTGGTGGCACCTGCCTCCTGAATAATAGCCTTAGCAATGGCCGTGTCGCTGAGAATGCTCTCACAGGCAGCTCCCAAGGAAGCCACACAGTCACGAATCATCTGGATCTCGTTCAGAAGTTGTTCCCCGGCTAGCAACACAGAGTTCATCGCATTGAAGAAGGCAACACATTTCTCAATATTATCCGTAGTGCTGTTCTCATCCAGCTGATTGGACTTTAGTAGTTCAATGATACCGTCAACTATCTTTTCTTGAGCTACCATTTCGGGAAGGGAGCTTCCAGCTCTAAGAAGAGTATCCGGTTGGCAGCTATTAAGTCCATAGAGGATCTGGTGAAGGGCACACTGCAGGCTATGGACGTAGTGCAGCAGGCGACACTTGAAGGCATATTGCTGGACGGCATGGCCCTGGGTCACCGCCTCCCTAGTAATCGTCTCGACGGCCGGGAAACGTTCCCTCGTCTGCGAAACGACAATGCCACATTTGAAGACAATACGTGAAATGAGTAGAACCACCAGAATGGAGTCATGATCGCCACCGCGACTCATGAAAGACTCGGGCATAAAGGCGGTCAACATCTGGACATGCTCGTTGGCCTGACTCAGCTCGATCTGGCGCAGTTGAACATCGATGGCACGAGTATAAGCCTTGGATTCGGCAAACATCTGTTTGTAGTCGATAGTTTCTGTGGCCAGTTTCAAGCTGGGATCCTGCAGCGACTCCTTTTCATTGCTAGAATTACGATCCCTCAGATCAGTTAGTTGGTCGTTCAGCTTCTGTACCAATTCCCTGAACTTTGTGATGGTCTGGTCACGATCATAGATGGTCTCGATGGCTGCATCACGCTCTCGCAGCACCTCCTTTTTGGCTCCATTGGCCAGGTCCAGTTCCTCGCGCAGATCCAGCTCCAGTTCGTGATTGCTCTCCACAAGCTGTTCATGCACTTCCTCCAGGGCCTCCAACTGAGCGATTTCCTCCTCGAGTAGCTTGACCTTATCCTCCAGTTCCATTTTCTTTTCGGCCAGCTGCTCTACCATTTCCTCGGCTCCAAGTGCAGCATCGACTTGTTCCTGGGATAAAATGAAATTATTTATTATGTTCTTAAACAAATATGAAATGCAAATGCGAAGAGGTTTGGGAAAATGTTGATAATTTTGTCTCGGGAAAGGTTTAAAAATATACACAATTTACCTCCTTGGAACCCGTTTAATTATTAAGTTAAGGCAGGCCGGCAAAAAGAAATGCAATGAAAAATTTTATCTTTAGATTGGCCTTGAGCAAAATATATATTACAGATGTTAGCGGAAGATATGGGTTAAAATAAGTTTGAAATGTCAAGAAATCTATCAGCTTGGCCTTAAAGTGATTGATGTATTACTCAATAAAACTCTACGAAACGTGGGTAATGCAAGGAATTAAACTAGTTACAAATTTGATGATTGATATTGAAAGTTTGTAAAACTTTTAACCGATATCTTCTTCATATAAAAAACAGCAAAAACTAGCAGAAAGCAGCGGAGCAACTTAAGCGAAACTGAGGCAAGCCAATAAGTGCAGAAAAGCCGTGAATTTTCATTAGGGTGTAGAGAGTGGGAAATCCAATTGATGGCGGGCAGTGAGAAGGATTTAAATGAAATACAAATTTTATGATATTCACCTGCAAGTCGGCCACTGTGGCCTCCAATTCATCAATCTTCGCACTGAGCTTCTCCTTGGTACGCTCCAATTCTGCAACTTCAGAACGCTTCATCTCCAACTCCTTGCTTAATTTCTGAATGTCATGCTTGTCATGAGCCGAAAGATCCCTCAGACGAACCAGCGTTTCTTTCAAACGGATATTCTGCTGTTCCAGCTGTTTGAATTCATACGTGGAGAGTCCAGCGGAATCGCCTTCACCTGAGATGTTACCAATGGCGGATTCAGCCTTGTTCTGCATCTCAGAGCGCAGCAGCTCTAAATCTACTTGCAGCTCTTCAATACGCTCCTTGGAGGACTCCAGTTCTAGCTGTAGCGTGTCGGCTTTTTCCTCTGCCATCTCCTTGTCCAGGGTGATCATCTCCACGTTGTCAGAAAGATCAGCCATTTCCTGGGCGTGCTGCTCTTTGGCTTCAATTGCATCCTTGGCCTCTTGCTTGGCGCGCTGTAGCTCCTTCTGCAGCGAAGCCTGTGCGGCCATGATCTTTGTGCGAAACTCTTGCAGCTGCTCAAACTGAATCTTCATCTTGTCGAACTCTCGCAACCTTTCCTTATCCTCGTTACGGCGCTGCTTCAGAGTTTCTAGTTTCTCAGTGAGATCAGCCAACTGGGCCTGCAGTTCGGCGCTAGTTTTCTGCGCCTCCAAAAGGGCAGTCTTATCTTCGGAACTGGAGTTGGAGGGCATGGTGAACGACGGCGAACGGAGAGGCTGCGAAGGAGTAAACTGCGGCTTGAGAATCTCCAGGAAGCCCGTCTCTACAAAGGAAGCCCGCTTAGAGGAGGCATGCGAGCCTGCACCGTTACCACCGACTGCTGTTGTTGCTCCCTCCGCCAACGAAGAGCTCGGAGTGTCTCTATCCTTGCTGCTTTGTGGTACAAGAGATTTCCTGGGACCAATGCTGCTGCTGGAGCCGGTGCGTTCACTAAGGGATGTTGTCAACTGGGTGCGAGAACCCAACAGCGATTGGCGACTGGAGGAGAGCGAGGTGCGGGAGGTGCTCAGCCGCGCCTTTGTGGGTTGGGCAGCCGTGGGCGTGGCAGTGCTAACGTCCTCAATGCTGCGCCTGCTACCAGGAGCCGCTTCCAGCAGACGCAGCTGCGTCGGACGTACGAACATGCCGCAGTTCTCGTCACACTGGAAATACTGCTGGCCCTTGATGGAGCCGCTGTTCTTGCCCTTTGGCTCGTCCAGCACGACGCCCACCCACTTGCCGACGGCGAAGCTGGTCATGCCTACGTAGGCAACCGTGCCGAGCAGATCTTTGCCGGTCAGCTCGACGCGGGCGCCTACTTTCAGGTTCTTCTCGGACATCTCGCTCTCGATGTGTGTGTTAGTGTCTGTGCGTGTATTTGACCAGGATGTGGGCTGAACGGATGTGATTATGAATGCTGTTCGATGGAAATGTGAGTTGTGGTTAGAGGGTTTCTGGCCATGGAATTCTATGCAACTTACTGCGCTGCACTTGCTAGACTTTTGGCCAACAGTCACGTCTTAGCTAGCAAAAAATGGCCGTCGGCTTGCGGGAGAGAAAACACAAAATGTTGACATCATTAGTCACCCATACAGACAGCTCAGGTAGATCCACAGTTTGCCTGGCCTTATCCTCTGGACTTACCTTCTTTTCCAATCGGTCAGGTGTTCCTTTCTTTGTTTCTATCGTCACCCTTACCATTTGCACTGAATTCCTATATTTCCGATGCAGGCAGCTAAAAATTGCAACGAAAAGTTTTCCTAAAATATTTGCAATGTTTCGAGTGTGACCCTGTGATAGAACTAGAGATGACAAAAACGTAGACCACTAATAAGAACTATCGTGATTCAAAGCCGTGATTGCTATTATCTTCAATATATTAAAAATTTAAATAAAATGCGCAGCTTATTAAATATAATGATAAGCATAACACAAATATACAAATATGTTTCAAAAGATATTATATTGAAAGTAACACAATTTTTATAAAAAAAAAAAAAGGAAATGTTTAAATTAAAAATTATTTGACGTGCATTTTTTAAAACAACTACTACTTCATTATTTACAAACTCTTGTTTGCGTACACTGCAAATGATTTTCCCTAAAAATATATATCGTGACTTATACATAAGGTGCAGTCACCCGCATCTCTATACCCGTGACCGGTAGGTGGACAGCCCAATCAGCTGTTGTGTATGCATTCTTCTAGTGTGGACACACTGCCCATCACGCCAAACAAATTGTTTTTCAAATATATGGAATAATTATTTTAAAATGGATGAGGAGGAGCACCTGCATCGCTTTGGCACACCTCTGGCGCCTATAGAGAAAGGTAGCTATTACCAGAAATCAATTGCTTTCTTGTTAATACCCTATAAACCCCTAAACAGATGTAGTGCCGGCAAAGAAACCTGTGGCCATCGAAGATCAAATTGTGAAAGATGAAAATGGAAAGCGAAGGTTTCATGGCGCCTTCACTGGCGGCTTCAGTGCTGGATTCTGGAACACCGTTGGGTCTCTGGAGGGCTGGACGCCTCAGACCTTTAAAAGCTCGCGGGCAGAGAAGGCAACTCCGCGGGCTCAGCTTAAGCCGGAAGACTTTATGGACCAGGAGGATCTGGGTGAGTTTGGCATTGCTCCGCAAGGGATTCGCACACGAGATGATTTCGCCAAGGAGGATGAGCAAGAGCAACGTTCTGGTCAGCGGCGTCGGAAACTCATGCAGCCAGAATTGCGAGAAGGCGCCATACCAGGAGTTCCAGTGCTTGAGCAACTCCTACGACCAGTGCGGGACAAGGTAGCCGTTCGAATACTTAAAAGCATGGGCTGGAAACCCGGCCAAGGAGTAGGTCCACGACAAACCAAAAAGGAGAAGCGCCAGGCCTCGGCCAGGAACACACGGGAGCAGTATCTCCTCGAGCACTACGGTGCGGAGGGACTGCCATCCCAAGTGGAGACGAATGAAGAAGACAGCAATGAGGATGAGGAGGACGATGAGGATATTACTTTTGCGCCGGATGACTATGAGCCCATCTTCTACACACCCAAGGAAAACCGCTTTGGCATGAGTTATTCTGGTCTCAGTCGTGATCCCATCCTCTCGAAGTCCTCCTCTAGCTCAGCCAAGCCTATGCAGCATATCAATCTCTTTGGTCAAATGGAAGATCAGGCTAATAAGAAGCAGCTGTCCATTCGCGGTCAGGCATTTGGAGTAGGAGCCTTTGAAGAAGAGGACGAGGATATCTATGCCCGCGATGATATGACCCGCTATGATTTCTCGCTGGCGGACAAGAAGCCCAAGCAAAAAAAGCAACAACACGTCCAGCAGCGCCATGTCATAGATGGATTTAGTGAAGATAAAACGGGATCAGCTCTGCAAAAGCCTTACGCCATCGACTTGCCCAGGGATTTTCAACCCAGAAATTGGTTGCAGCGAAGAAGTCGCTTTGCTCCAATGGACAAAGAAAGAGCCAAAAAATTGGAGGCGGCCACGGAATACAAACGATCGGGTCTGGGAAGGCACGATCTTAATCCTGATCAGAGGGCAGAGCTTTTAGGAGAGCAGAAAAAAGATGAGAAGCCGGACGAAGAGGAGCAGCCCAAACGCAATCCCTTTAAGGATCGTGGAAAATCACTACGGGAACGCATCAATGCCAGGACAGAAGGTTTCACCAAGGGTGGAGTGATCACAGAAAGTGGCGAAGAGAAACAAACTGAAATGACTAAAGAAGTAAAGGAAGCGAATGCCGCAATACAAGAGAAAGCAGCTCTAAAGACGAAAGATTTAGGTAAGCAAAGTATTACTCGAAATGGCTTAAAATTTAAAACTTTATTATCTTTTAGCACCTTCAACATCATCTTCAGGCGCTTTCAAACCCTTTTTAGCTGATGAAGCTAAACAAGAGCGCTATGAGAAATTTGTTGCTGCCAAGCTAACAGATGATACAGAAATCACACAGTTCCTAGCCAATATGCAACCGGTTTCACTATCCTTGTGGGATAGGGAGATGGAGAAGAAGGAATTCATTCAGGCGGCAAAGATCTATCGTCCATTAGATGGTCTTATGAACGATAGATTCGTTTCGGAAGCCAATGTCCAGGCTGAGAAGATCAAGGAACAAACGAAGTCCACGGAAGAGCGAATGATCGTAATGGAGCGGACCAAGACCATGTGGAAACCCACTTCACTGCTCTGCAAGCGGTACAATATTGCAGAACCATTTGGAGGCGCCATGCTGGACCCGGAAAAGGAACTTAAGGCAAAGCCGAAGATTTCGGTATTCGATTACCTAGAGACGTCAATCAACACAAAAGCAAACTTTCAAACTCCTACTATTATTCCCAAGCACATAGAGAAACCGAAGCCGAAGGAAGTAGAGCCACCACCTCCATCTCTACCTCCTCCTCCGGTAGTTAAGGAACCGGAGAAACCTATTTCAAAAGAAGATCCAACAAAGTTTGTTTTTGTGCCGAAAACTCCCTTGGAGCAGGCGGTGGATGAAGCACGCAACAAACCCATTTCGGAGAAGGTTGACCTGTTCAAAAGTATTTTCGATGACAGCGACGAGGAGGAGGTAGTTGAGAAGCCTCCAGAGAATCCGGAGAAGAAACTGGCTGCCTTGGAAGAGGCTCTAGGCTTACCCTCATCGTCAGCAGCTTCAGCTGCGGCACAAAATGTTTTAAGAAACACTTCACCTCCTCGAGGAATTTTCGCAGCGTTGTTTCAAGCCAAGGAAGTGGAGGCAGCTAAAGAATCAGCGCCACCTAAGTTTGCTCCTATAGAAGGAAATAAGTTAAAGATCTCTTACAAATCTCGTGAAGAGCGACTGAGGAACGATAAAGAGTTGGCCATGGCTGAGGTGCCGCCCGAAGATATCTACGGGCCAAAGTTACCAGGAGCAGTTCCCCCGAAACCAGCCGAGGATCAGGCAGAAGCCGGTATCAATGCCAAATTGCAACAGCTCTGGCAGAAGCACGCTCCTAAAAAGCGAAAAGCTGAGAAATGGGTGGAAAAAAAGATGATCTCCAGCAGTGAGGACAGTGATGAAAGTTCCAGCGATGAATCCTCATCATCCGATTCCTCTAGTGGGAAATCTAAGAAATCCAAACTTAGTAAGCCGAAGAAGTCACACAAGAGCTCCAGATCGAAAAAGTCCAAGAAATCTAAACTAAAATCGAAGAAGAAGTCAAAAAAGAGCGACAAATCCAAACACAAGACGAAGAAAAAGAAAAGTAAACACTGATTGTAAATAGTTAATAAATAGATTTGGCTTTCTCTAAGACAATCACTTAATGGTTAATTAAACATTGGGCTCGGGTAAATTTGATCGGTTTCTTTTCCGCTTGCCTTAAGCGAGTTTGTAGAAAAGCACAGAAAAAGGCAAACTAATAGAAATTCTAAAACAGATTTTGAAAAAACAAAATCTTCTAGTAGCTCAAAGATTCTAGAACACCTCTACCCAGCATGGCTTGAACCCTTACGATATTCGCTAGCTCGTTTTACCATGGCTCTGCTGTGGTGCTGTTCCACCCAGGTAGATCGTTTGGTCAAAAAAATCAGAGCTACCACGATTGGCATCCGCTCGGTGTCTGTCTCTCTGCTGCAGTTGCTCTCTCCCACCTGCCTTTGTTAACAACAGTTGGGCGAGAGAGAGAGTCAGAGAGGCTCTTGGCCTGGCCAAAAGACGGGACCAGACCAGCTTCAGTTGTGAGTTCGGCAGTTTCGCTCACCTCAGTCGCAAAGTACGTGTAACCAAAGATAGACGAGTCCGAGTTCCGATCCCAGTGTAGTCCCAAAAAAAACCGCTCGACAGCCATATACCTTTAGATATAGCCATCATATCGCGCTGCTCGCGGATTGCGGATGTGGATTGGGGGTCGCGGATCCGGAGCGTGGCTCGTAATGTCTGCCAAAGCGTAACGAAAATTTCCAAGTGCTCAAGACAACAACAACAACAACAACATAGTATCATTAATGGCATTTTCTGTTTCGAGTTTGTGTGTGAAAAAAAAGTGCACAAAAGTGGCAACAACAAAAATGTATAATCAAGCAGCATGAAAATCGAAAAGGTATAACAACCAAATCCCTGCTTCTTTTTGCTTATCGAAAGGAAAAAACCCAATCAAATAATTACAATTAATTGCGCAAATTACATGAAAATATAAATGTAAAAATTTAAACAAAAAAAACAAGCCTATATATAGTGAAAAATTGGCATTTACACACCTGCAACATTTGTTTGCTTTCGTGTTTGTGTCTACCTAGACGCTTGCCAGTGTGTGAGTGTGTGTACATAAAGATGTAGCCGCGAGTGTGTGAGTTTGCCGTTGCATAGCTGTAAACCAGTTGCCAATTGCAACGTGTTTTTTTCGAGTTGTTGGCCCAAGAGATAGCCAACTAAATAATATGTATAAAAATTAACTAGAAAACTGTGAAGTTGTCGGGGAAAAATCAATGGAAGTTAACGATCGTTGGCCAAGTGGTGAAAAGTTAAAACCTAAAAAAAGCAAAAAGGGATATATCATCCAAAATATAATCACTAAACACTACAAAAACTAATCAGATTCTTACAAAAAATCTTTATAGTTTATGGAATTTTCCTCTACCTTAACAACATAATAAAGTTTTAGCAACATGACAAATCCATCTCAAGATAAATTGATATCAAAAGCTATCATTTTATAGAACTGCTTGCGTGTTACCGCCGAAAAACACGTTCGAAACGAGTGTTAAAGTGACAAAGAAGAAATCACAGAAATGGGAATCGAACAGAAATGGGAAGAAAAGACAAAAACTAAGAATTAAAAAGACTACGTTTTCGCCTTTTTTTTTTGGGCTAATAAAGCAATTTGATATCGTAAGGCAGAACACTGAGAACTACAGCAGAGTGAGATCATGATTGCAATCGTAAGAGCGAGAGCAAGGCATGGAGAGCAAAAAGAGAGAAACAACAAAAAAGAGAGTGGGAGAGAGTTGATTTAGTTTAAGCCAGGCCAAAAAATGAATGCCAACCGATTCCCAATTTCCATTTGTCAATAAAGCCCAGCAACAACAAACAGTTAGCCCATATATCACTGTTCTGGAATATATATATAAACATATATAGATATTCTTATATCGTTTATGGATTCAAGCTCAGCTGTGTGGAGGTGTAAGATACGAAAAAAAAGGCGAAATGAAAAATAAAAAACAGCCAGCAGTTTCGCAAAAATAAAGCTCGTCAAGAGGAGAGAACAAAAGTGAGCGAAATGCTGACGTCGAGCAGCTTGTTTAAACTTTTGTTTTAAATTTAAATTGCTAATGAATTGATGATGTCTTATAGTTCTAAGAACTTACAATGGGGAGATAGCAGATGTAGGGATCCGCAACTTATAATTAAGAGCTGAACTTGGCAATAAAAATGCACAGCCAGAAATATTTTAGCTTAATTAATTAAAGCTAATTTTCATAAAAATTATTCAGCTTTATGATTTATCCTTTCTTTATAATAAGTACATTTCTTTGCGTCTTTTATATCATGAAAATGTTATAGTACAAAGTATTTCTTTCTGTGCATCTCATCTTCTTCTTCTTGCTATGGGGCTTTGAGAAGGGTCACTCACAGCTCAAGGTAATCAAGGTTGATGATTGTTCAAGTTTTGTTTGGTTTTTGACCAAACAGACTTGCCCCTAATGACACTGAAATGTGAATCTTTAGATCTCTTTTAAAAAAGTTATTAAAGCTTTTAAATTGAGCATATTAATGGGCTACCCAAATGTACTTTATTTTAGAAACCGTTGGAAAAAATGTATAATAGTCAAGTAGGTGAATTTTTGTGGAAATAACTTACTTGTTTAGGGAGAATTTATTTTATACTACATTATGAGTTTATAAATTATATTAAACTTAGAAATTAGCTAGAATAAAACTCATTTCCTATCTTTGCTTGATTAAGCAGAATTTGTACTTTAATCAAGAATATTTTCAAAATAATTTAGAACTTAATAAACAAAAAACACAGCTTACGAAATTCGCTGCTGATAAATATGTTTTCTCTCCTCAAAACTCAAAAACATCTGATTTTAGGTTCTGCCCAAAAAATTCTCTCAGATTTTGTATCTTTCTACGTTTTGGCAAGCCCCTAAATGTTAACGATATTCGTCTACCTGTTCTTCGTTTGTTTTGTTTTGTTTTCCCTTCTTCGGCAAGGTATTGTCTGGCCAAACATTTTCCGCATTTTTTCAGGTGCGTCTCAGTGAACTATTCAGAACACATACTCATACAAAGGCATACAGGTAGAAGCATAAACTAGCAAAAAAAAAAAACCAACGGCTGTGCTAAAAAAAACTTTCATTAATGTTATTTCTGCTTTGCGCTAGCTAAAATATTTTGCGGCAAGCCGCTATCTTTTGCCCTGCTCTTTCCATCGTAACAGCGATTACGAGTCGTAAAAAAGAAATCCATCATTAGGTGCTGTCAACTTCATAGCCGATGTCACTTGGGTGGATTGGCACAGTGGGGTATGCAGAATATATTCTAGAGAAAATAGGAAATACTTTCGGATTTATTTTCTCTTACTGTATTTACTGATCTTGTCTATGATAATATCATAAAGTGCTAAAGAATTAACTATCCTGCAGTAAAGTCACGGGAAATTTATAAAAACGATACAAAAATCAAAGGAAAATTCGTTGCCAGTATTTTCACAACGCGTCCCACTGTAGCTCTGAAGCGAATATCGTAAATCAGTTGCGCGCCACGTTCAAGCCGGATTCATTTTTATTCCGGTGGCTCTGCTGCTCCACAGCGGGTTAGTTGTTGCTGGGCGGTCGCTAGCGCTTGGTCTCCGCGGTCTTGGCTTCTAAGCCTCTGGAATGCCAACAATGTGTGTTGTGCGTTCGGTTTTGGTTCACTTTTAACTGATTTTTTTTGTATTTTTTATTGACCGTTTCATTTACGGGGCTGCTGCTGCCGTTGTTGTACTTTCCATAAAGCTAAAATAGTTTTCACCCGAATGTTTGGTCGCTTTCTTGCAGTTTGGTAACAAAATGGAAAAGAAAACTTGAAATTTGTGTCGATACGATTGCAAGTTTGGTCGCGTATCTTGCAGATACACATCCGCTTGTCCAAGCGAATTGCACAACCCAAATAAAATAACAAAAAAATAAATAAGTAAACGCGTTACACGTGTCCAAGTGTGTTCGAGTCTTTGTTCGTCGTTAGCTGTGCCAAGCCAAAATGCCCGTATCCAATAGATACCACCAGTCATCATCGCTACTATCATCAACCACTTCACCACCAACGGCAATTGCATCGCACCAGATTTCAAGCAGCACGCAGCATTTTGAAGTAATTGCAGCATCTGGCCATCGTCAACGCTGCGGAATATAATGAGTCAAAATGTGGCCGATAGTTTGGTGAGTAGCTAAACCCATTATATATAAACATTATATATACATACTATATAGTTAGCGTAGAAAGTAACAGGGAAATGCATAGAAAGTCATTTTTGAAAGTATCTCGCTGAGCAGCGCTGAACTTTTTGGAAGCTTTTGCCCAAATCTGCTAATTACTTGGTTAAATATTTGGTAGACCAAATCAATGTGAACCAGAAATTGTGGCCTTAATGGCTATAAAATTGTTATAAACCGGCTTTTGAAATATCCAATTTATTTATAAGATATATTCCGAAATTATAAACATACTACAATATTACGAACAGTTTTAAAATAAATATTTATAAGGTATTTTATTTTTTAAGATTTCGTTTTCAAGTGAACTAAATGACGCTTTATGACTAAACTTTTTGGAAAAGTAACTCATTTCTGGTGCTATGTATGAGACATTTTAAGATTATATTTCTCGTGATTTATTTTAATTTCCTAGTTTTTTGAGATTAGTAATAAAACGTACTAGTTCGTAAAATGTCGCAAGTTATGAATGAATTAATTTATGAATGAAGTATTTTAAGGATGTTGTGAGTAGTGATAGTATTTTGACATCATCACTATGAGATCTCATTTTTGTGGTTTATGCAACATTCGTCATCAGCATCACCGCCCTTTTTCCTCTTCTCTGGTTGCATTTGCTAATTGATCAATTGACGTGCTTTGGGGTTCCAATGTTTATCCAACGACCACATGCAACAAACAAAACAACAGACATCGTTTGATTGGCGCTTACGTAAATGCACGTTTTATTAATATTTGTGCTTATTGATTTCCCCGCCAGCTTTCTTTATATCGTTACCAAATACCAGACAACATTCAGGTATTCCCATTTCCATAATTATGTCATTTCAGTTCACATGTTTGGCCGGCTAACCAAATTATAGCCCAAAAAGTCAAACAAAACAACTAGGAAAATTATTCAAATTTCTTCTTTGGCATTAATCAAAAAAAAAAAAAACACGGCAGGTCTTAAAGTTTTAAGAGGCTCATAAATTCCATTGATAAATGCGTAGAGATAATGAAAACAAATGCTATTGTGGGGGTCAGTGTGAAGTTGCCCCAAAAAATACTGAAAAAATACTAAACATTACTGCCTGAGAGAGAAGGTGAGAGAGTTCTGATGGGAAACAAACAACCCAGTCAATTGCCCATCAGAAAAAACATAAACAGAGCGAGAATGTTCGGAACAAGTTAGAATCTTGTAGGTGTGCTGTAACGACTGTGAGATACCGAGCAATTTTTTTTCTTCGTATTTGTTTCGGGCGGAACACTAATTAGTCGTAGAATATATAAAAGTAAGTTTTCTTAAACCTTTTTTTTTATATATAAACAATTATTAAGTAATCAAGATTTCACGACTCAATTTAAACTTAAATAATTTTCTATAAAATCGATTGTAAAATGTAACATATCCTAAGTTTACATACTTTTTCCTATTTCAAATATTTATTAATAGATTTTAATTATAAATGCACATAAATTTGTATGTACCTTGAAACAATATACCCTGTAAAAAGGTGTAAATCCATAGTGGGTGTTAGAATTTCTCACGGTTCTATACTGGAATACATGAGAGAATGCAAAAAGAGAGCGAGCAGAGTTCAGAGAGCGCATCATGAGGATGCTACAGTTACATCCGTCGCGTGAGAACAACCCCCGCAAATGCTTACGTTCTTATTGGGAGAGAGTCGATAAGCGACAGAAAGAGAATGAGAGAGTGAGCTGGATCCAAGCGATGGGGTTTCGGGCGGTCGTTTTGTTCTAAGCGGGCAGAGTTCGTCTTCGACTGTTGTTGGCGGCGGTTGTTGGTCGCGTGTCTCTCTACCTTGAGAGCCCTGTAAATGTGTGTGTGTGTGTCTCGCGCGCGTTTTACGCTCTGCGCCCTCCCGACACCCTTTCTACCAATTGGAGAAACCCCCGAATGTGAATTTTGTATAATGTTTTTGTAATTATATGGATATCTCATGTTTGAGATTTTCAACGAAACGAATGAAAATGCAAGCGATATCCCGAAAATCGCTGTTTACGCGTGTGCTGCAATAGGCAAAAGGAAAAGCAAAAGAGAGATAAAAGTGAAAATAAATAATACATAAAGAAAGGCGTGCTAAAGCACGAGAGCAAAAGGAAGATTGCAAAGCAGACGCATAGGACGTAGTGCAACGAACCCTTCAACGCGGACCAAGGATTCACCACTAACTAGTGAACAAATACTACAAATACTCCCCCCCACCTCTTTTGCTCCTGGGTGTGTGCTGCTCTATGTCCCGTTGACTCATCGGCGTTCCCAGGAAGCTGAACAACGGTATAGCGGACAGAAACCCACAGAAGCTCAAAGCAAAAACAGAAAAAAGAGCAGCAGGAATATCGATTTTACTTGCCATACACCATCACCACCACCATCACCCACAACATCCATTGAACTGCACTTGTGTGTAAAAATAAAATATATACCATAGTCCATTAAAGGAGAGGTGTAAATTAAAGCAGATAGAAGAGAAGAGGATAACGGATAACCGGAAATCTCAGCAACATTTCTCAAGGAACAAAAGCCAATCTCAAATGGTAAAAGAAAAAAGCTTTGCAATCCATCAAGGCAGATAAAAAGGAGCGCACTTAAGATTTATTAGTTTTTCTCCCGTAACTACAGTGGTCACTCGGTTGTTGAATCATCGAAAAGTATTAGCTAACAATATATCTAAAACAAATATTTGGTTTTCGATATTTAATTGATGGATTCTGAGTTTAAAACTAAAGATAAGATTAAATGACATTGTACTGGTTTTATCTTTATTCATTACTGTTGACCCTAAGTAAACAACTTAAAAAATTATGAATAGTGCGCACCTTTTTTAAGTCTTAAATATTCCCAACCCTCAAGCTGAGTTGCTTTGTATTTGGTCTTGTTACGTTTAAGGAGGGATTACTGTAGTGTCTTGGTATCGAATCACAGAGAAATGTCAACAACGATTATGTGTAAAAAAGCAATGGATTGGAAACTTTACGCCTTAGCGGAGTCCAGAAATAAAATACGTTTATGGGGAAAGGACTAGGAATCGATAAAGAGTTATATTCCAATAAGTTATAAATGATTCACATGGGAATTGAGAGAGCTGGTTAAGCAGTGTTGGTTTTAAATATTCATGCTAATTAACTAGCACAGAGATATGTATGCTTGGGGAAAAAACAACGATGAATAATACAGAAGTGTAGTTTGCTTTATCTTTCCATATTTGAAATAAGAAACAAAGGGAATTATTTCCAAAAATTTATGCATTTCAAAATGAATCATTTGAGAACAGGTCATGTGTATATATGTATGTATATAATTTCATTTGCAGTCCCAATTTTATTTCTGTTTTCCTTTATCATCCATTTATGTGGTGGAGAGCGAGCCCCTTCAAACATTTATCAGGTCCCCATTGTATGCAAAACAAAAGTTCCGCCCTCTTCCTCTCCACGTTGGCAAATGATCGGGGGGAATGCATAAAAATAATTTACGTGGCTAGCAGGGCTATGTTCACTGGCTCAAGCTTTAGTTCAAGTTGATATGTTTTCGTATTGTTTCTACATACATCATCATCATCTCTCAGCCGGTCGACGGATGTGGTTTGATAATAGCCCAAAGAGCGGGACAAATACTGAATGCTAGATACTGATAAATACACAAAAAGAAAAGATTAAACGGATATAATGATTGTTGAAAAATTGAAAAGAAATATCAAAACAGGATGTGGTTATTAATTGGGCAATTATAGTGAAAACTTCAATGGAGATGTTATGTGATGTAATATAGTTTTCCTTTTAAAGAAAATATGTTTCTGTTAAGTTGCTTAAGTTTTTCTTGTTTATTTATTTCTTCTTTAAAATGTTGTAAAATGTTTATTGCTGTATGTCAGTGGAACTATTAATGAAACAAAAAGATCTTTATTTTTTTGCGTGCACCGAGAGGGAGCAACAAATGTTGTCAGGCTGAGTGCGTCGGATGCAGTCACATGTAACTGACAGTCAGTCAGAGTCATTTAGCCAGGCAGTCAGTCAGTCAGCCAGTCAGATAGTCATATAGGGATTTCACAGGGGAGAGCGGTGTTTAGTTTCAGTCTCTTTTTTCTTTGACGTTTTCAATTTTGTTTTGCGTTGTTTTATTGTATTTTTTTTTATTTTATCTTTTTTGCCACTGCTGCTTCTGTGGCTGTTGCAATTCACAAAACTCGTGCCAGGGGTCGACGTTGTAAAAATAGATATTTCTGCCTACAATTGTGGTCAATATTAATGTTAAATTTTATAAAAAATTCAAAACAGCTTGATTTTATTTGTAAAAAAAATAGCAAATTACTTGGAATAAAGTTTTAATGAGTTAGATTTTATAAGTAAATAAAATTGGTTTACTAAGAAACTCGCCTTAAGCTTTTTAAATGTTAAATTGATAAATATATTTAAAATTTTCTTTAAAAATCTTTCAATCTTTGAAAAATATTTGACCTCATCTGTGTTCCCTGTTTGTTGATAAATCCAACCCAAAAATGCAAATGCAAATCTGCTTTGATGTTGTTGTTGTTGTTAGAATCTCTTTTGTTTTGGTTTCTGTTCTATTTTTGCAAAAGATCTGTAATTGAAAGAAATCCCCCCCATCGGCAGAAATCGCCACCCACTCGGTTTTCTGCTTTTCTGGAGGAGGAAAGGTCACCTGCTCTATATATAGACAGATGATGTGGGCCGTAACAATCAGCAGCCGCCGCCTTCCCCATCATACTTGGATGTTATTTTTTTATAATTAAGCCAGCTTGTATAGACAAACACGAATATGTTTGACAATTTGCCCCGTCGGCTGGCTGGCATTATAATACTATAATATTTCATTACTTAATGAGCTTTATTTCTGCCGCTGTTATATTTTTCCCCACCCAGAATGGGCTGGGTATTTTCTGGTGAATCATTCGAAAAGGTAAAAAAAAAAGCTGAAACGTATG